CCCATATAGACTGGGAGCATCAGAGGTTTATTAAAGAAACGTTTAAGTTCAGAGACGTCGAAGCACTTCAAGACCCATGGTTTTTTATCACTGCTGGCATCTCTGGTGCGGAAACCCAGAGGTGCCAGAGCATTCAGCTTTCTCCCAAAGCAATATTTCTCGGGCGAACATAAGAATGGAAAGATGTTAGGATACTCCCCCAACGAGGAGCCAACGCTGGGTGACAGGGACAAGACCAGGCCCGGGACAGCGGCCGGTCTAAAATTTGGAACTGGAACTCCGTTCAGCTAGTAACGGACGAGGGTGAACCTTCAAGAACGCTGAAAAATTGCACACAAATCAGTCACCACCCCTGGAACCAAAGGGTGAAAGCTGATAGTTTTTGTCCTGCCAGAAAAACCACTAAATGGGCCACTCAGTGTGCCTAAGGCAAACGTTAGATCCAATCTTCTTCGGGTGATGCAAGCCACAACACTAATTGGTGGGAGCACAAAGTTTAACAGATGGCACCTTCCATAATCCCCAAGAGAAAATTTTAAAGAGTGGAGAAACATTCCAGCAATTTAAGCCGAATTAGGGATGAAGGAGGTGCTGATTTCTAAGGTTAAACTGCTCAAACATCGCCGCCACGACGGGGCAGAGGCAGAGAGCCGAACCTTTACAGTTCTTTCCAGTAATTAACCCTCACGGGTTTAGAACTAAAATAATAACTAATAAATAAAGAAATTTGAACTTGGGTGGATGCTGGATGGAGATATATAGTTATATTACGGTATGTTTAGCGATGTATATAGATTTGTGGCAAATTTGTCGATGTTTGACGAAAGAAAGTACCAGTCATGGCAGTAATTAAAAATATGGAATCAGAGGCCTAATATCACAAGAGGAACCATGATGCCAATGAAGAGTTCTTGATCCAAGGTATTGGAGCTTCCTTTCCTTGAATTTTATCTTCAGGTGCTGTGTAACCCCTACGAGTTTAGCGCTTCCCAATGGGTATTAAAAAAAAACTTCTTTGACCCTGGAAAAGTATTTTATCGGAAAAAAAATCGTAATGTATCAGTGATTATTTTATTTCCCAAGACGACACGTTAGTTATACCATAAAAATCTAACAGCAAATTTCTTGCAGGAGAAAAGCCAATAGTTATGAACAGTATTTAAATGGTAAAGACATTCCTGGTAATTAGATTATTCAGGGGACTACGATACCTAGAAGAGCTCGGGGTCCAGGACTGTAGGTTGACCTCAGGATCAACAAGGTTATTTTTTATAATCAAAACCGAGCCCTAAATGGATAAACAATAAGAGCTTGACGAACTTCATTCACAAGAGCATCCGTTCCCTCGAGACTGGTCAGACTGACATGAAAATATTGAGTTCGCTAAATTAAGTCCAGGATTTTTGCGAAAGCCCCACCTTGGGCAGAGGACTTCCTGGCGATTACCAGAAAGAAGCTTGAGGAAAAACATTGAGAATGGATAAGTATCTGTGGAAAACCCTCACTTTAATTTTTATTGACTGATGGACTTTGGAGAGCCCAAGGCTTAGTTCAGGGATGAAGATCAAGTTTGTCTGGCTCTCGGAAGAGGAAGACACAGGGATGATGCCTGGTCTGTGGAGCGGCTTTACTGAACTACAGTGGAATACGGAGCTATATGGAATATACAGGAGGCTGGTTACCCAGAGTATTTCCTCTTATTCTTACCCTCAAAGTTTCCTCTCAAGTCAGTAGAATACTATGTGGATAATTTTATATTTTGTAAGTGTTAGGCTCGATTATATAAACGATATTACAAACTTTGCTCTGAGGATACTTGCTTGACATAACACAAGGAATATGCGAGAATATTACCATTCCTAGATCTTTGGCCCACTTTTTGGGCCTGCCAATTTTCCCACCAATGAACCCCACACACACATAACATTTGCAACTATTGCATCTCCGTACTAACACTGTCTCCGTCCTCGTACCTCTGTATAAATAAAGTATAATAATCAAAAAAGTCTACGGGGAAGGTGCAGCGTGTCACAGCAAAGACACGCCTGTGTCGCACTCTGGTCAATCATGAACATGTGAGGGGTTATAGGAAAGTGGTATATTTATTAGTTTATGCCAGGTTAATGTGTAAAATTTGGGTTTTCTTAACCCCCTCCTCTACCCACTCTGATTCCTCTCACAAGAATGCCCTCAGGACATTCACGGTCTTTCCATCCTATGGTGGTCTCCAGGGACTGTTGCCAGATGGCTAGTATTAACGAGTGTTAATTACTTACACATCATCATTAATTACTTACACATCATCTATAATGACAATAATAAACCTTAACAATGCTCTGAGACCCAATAAAGTGGGTCTCAGCCTCTCATATTGTAAGTGCCACCTGCATTTACATATGGCAACTTCCACAAGTTGCCATAGAGTTGTCAGAGAGGCAGGAAGGGAGGACCATTACACTTATTTCTAGAATATTCTAACGTGAGGGCATTCAAAAATTCGCACGGACTGACTGAATGATGGTGACAATGTTCTCTTTCTCAGCTCAAATTTCTTCAGTAGAAGACGAAGAATGTGTTAATAAATGCAATTTAAGATTTTTTCTATGTAATTTCTTAATTTGAGTTAATTTTCGCAAATATAATGGTAATTGTTAAGAAAAAGACATGTACAGCTAATGTGACATTTTATCGTAGCAACGTTTCGCTCTCCAGGAACTTTGTCAAGCCGTTAAGTAACACCTTGACAAAGCTCCTGGAGAGCGAAACGTTGCCACAATAAAATGTCACATTAGTTGCACTTGTGTCCTTTTACCTAACATATTGTTGGTAAAATTACCAACAATAACACAATAATGGTACTTGTCCTAACGTAACAATTTAACCTAACCAAAGTAACGGAAATTAACCTAACTTAATCGAACTCCGTAAAGAGGATGGACAAATAGTCTGTTAAGAAGTATTGTCTGATTATGGCGAGATGTGCATACCTTCGAAATCTTACGCCTTGGATCACGAGCGCAGATTGAGGGAGATAAAAAAAAAGTTGAATGTAACTTCTCATTTTCTATACACCTTGTCACCGTAATTTTAATTTCATTAAGAGGGGAAGTTTTATGTACGTTTTTAAGTAATCTGGACACATAATAATTAGGTTCTAGAAATATTATTTTATTCATATACTGAGAGGAATTTAAAGGTGTTTGCTTAATGCAGTCAATGCCTAGTCTACCAGAACGCCCAGTTGCTTCAAAATAAATACCCACATGCAAAATAATGCCCCAGAAAACTCAAATACATCATGTACAGAAAACCCCCCCCCACAACACACATTTTATATATATATATAATATATATATATATATATAATATATATATATATATATATAATATATTTTATATATATATATATATATATATTTTATATATATATACACACACACAAATCACATTTTGATGTCAGAACGTCAAACCCTTAAGAGACCCGAACGTCAACCATTCGGAGACCCGAACGTCAACCATTCGGAGACCCGAACGTCAACCATTCGGAGACCCGAACATCAACCATTCGGAGACCCGAACATCAACCATTCGGAGACCCGAACATCAACCATTCGGAGACCCGAACATCAACCATTCGGAGACCCGAACATCAACCATAAAGACGCCAGAACATTATACGGACGCCGAAACACATGCTTAGACTATGCACTTTATTAAACAAAGGTACTAACCAGATATGCACTAGAAAAACTGTTCCAATCGCACAAAGGCTACAACAGAAGCACCAACCACACAGGCGCCACAAAACACTCGCCAGCCATACACTAACAAAGATAAACACACCAACCACATACAATCCAGACATAATCATCCATCATAAAGACGAGATAAAAAAATGCATTGACCATGCGCTTACCAGAGCAAGAGTACCAACTATGCTAAGTCCCAAACATATATACCAGGTGCACACGCTCCTTAACATGCTTAGAAACCAGAAATCTATCAAAAGAAATGCACCAACCATGCACTCTAAAGAATAAAGAAGCCAGCTACACATGGACCAGAGCAAAGGTGTTATCCACACACTAGCTAGAACAAATGCAGCAACCATATACTTACCTAAACTAAGGTGGAAGCTGCATTTACGCCAGAAAAAGTGAACTAGTTCCACACACAGTAAGGTCAATTCACCACTCAGGCACAACGTAGAGAAAAGGCCCCAGCAACAGGCTCGCCACATCCAGTGCACTAGCCACAAACGCACAAGAGCAAATGTTCCGACCATTAACTCGCCAAACAAAGCTATCAAAAACACATTCGTTACTGCTAATGAATTAACCACACAAACACTCGAACAAGTGGACCATCTATACACGGCCTGAAAACCTGTATTAACCAGACACTTCCCATAACAAATGTAAGAATTAAACACTCTCCACAACAAGAACACCAAGCATAAACTTTCCATAACATGCGCACCAACCCCACAACCCCAGAACAGTTGTCGTAACGATACATTCACAACAGCAACAGGCACCAACTACTCAGTCGTAGCAGAAGGGTATCGACAATTCTCACCCAGGAAGAAATGCCACCAGCTACGCAGGCGAAAAATTAAAGGCATCAAAACGACACTCGCCAAATCAAATACCCCAACCAAACACGACGTAAAATGCACCAACTATGCACACACCAAAACAAATGAAGCAACCATACGCGGAACAGAAAAACAGACCCTAACCTTCTAGCACCGGAACTAGAGCCCCAAAACCCTTCTCTCCCCCAAAACGACTACACCATTTGCATAATTTCTTAATTCTAAATACACCGGCTTCAAATGCCAAACAGTAACATGCACACAGAAACCAATAAGCCGGAAAACAAAAAGTTATTATTTGCAAGCAACGTGAGGCTGCAGGATAATTTAGATCCAAGCACGGTGGAGCCCAACCTGAGAGAACCAAGGCCTTCGCCTTCAAGTCCATTTATGTGATAATTCTTGTCGTAGTCGTCGTGGTAACTCTTCCCGTAATCGTCCCTCACATCTTGCTCCCTAGGGCTACGACCTGAGGCTCCTAAATTGCTGTATGCTCGGCCACTCCGTCCTCACCCACGTCCTGGCCTAAACCACCACCGTTTATGGTGTACGGAGAGGCTTTCTCACTCCTCTGTTGTCCCAGACTGGCGACTTCTACAGTGAAGAAATCCGGCGTGATTCTCTTACCCTTGGGACGCCAGGAGACCAGGATGCTCGTTGTGTTTAACACCTTTACCTATTAGCAAGAAAATATATTCTAAATGCACACAAAATTTAAGCGTTCAGAGTAAATAGTAAAGATTAACATCAGATAAATAATTCTGGTGCAGCAAAGTGTAATGAGTACTAATGAATGATAGAAAAGCCCCCACGATACTGTATATTGCGTCCTCAAGTAATTCTCTTCAAAAAAAGGATCTCAAATGAAGGTCGAAATTTACAGAATACCATTCCAAAACTTTCTCGTCTGGATTTTCCTAGATAATGCTTATCAAATGACATTTTTACCAACAAAAATTTTCACGTTATTTACCTGACGTTAATTCATTAGACACAAGTTGTTTTTTTAGCCGTTTTGAAGATTTTTGTCAACTGTCAGCGAAGCATCAGTGTCAGAAGAATGAAATGAATTGATTTGAAGAGTACTTCTGTTGGCTGACGCAGTGCTCTTAGCTCCAGAAATATATACAATACACCCATAAAAACATTATTATAATCATAACCAAGCTCTAAACCCGTAAGGGTCATACAGCGCTGCACCCACAAGAACAACCATGGTAAAATTAAGAAGCAACACAAATGCTATCTTACCAAGTTAAACTAGCCCAACTAGCCTCACACACACACACACACATTCACCTTAACTTTCTTGATGCCAATCTTGTCTGTATATTCAAGTGGCGGAAGATTGGTTGGATCAGGTACCAGAGTACAGATAGTGCGCCCAGTGCGCCTTTCACCAACTCTCTCGTGTCTGTCCTTGTAGTGAGGCTCCACCTTCACAGTGTAACACGTGTCTGGTTCTGAAGATAAAAAGTTATCACTTATATTCAAGGAGAAGCTTCAAGGCATCATTGGTCATACAGAACTAAGGAATGAGAATCATATTTGATCTGGGTAAGAGTAAAAATTCTTTAGATCAAGAGAATTTCAATAACCAAGGTACTTTCCTTGGAAGATGTTACCAAGAACTCTAGTGAATAAAATTATCAGCAAATGATGCAAATTCACGATTTTGATTTTATCGGAAATATAAAAGTCAGAGCAAATTAAACAAACGAGACGTTAAACCCACAGACGTCACTACAGTCCTTGGAGAATTGGAAGTAATCATTAATTTGACATCTACATGACATAGAAACACCATGGAATCTTGGCACAGATAATATGTTCCACAATATCATTGCTAAATCATTAGCTTATTTTATAAGCCAAACTTACCTAAGCTAATTGGCTTCGCCCATATGTGACGAAATCTTCAACTACTGCACCTCTCCACCGATTCCCCAGATTCTAGTATAGAAGCCCCAGTCTTCTCGCCTCCGTTACATTGATAAACTCTGCCACGCAGGCGAAAAGTCCCAAAGAAAATACACAGGTATTTCACATGGTGTCTTGCTCATCACTTGTCAACATTATAACTTCTCGTCTAATGGTAGACGAGATATGTAGAACCTCTTTTCAATTGGGGCTCTGTCCTTCCTTCATGCTCATATATACACTTACAAGAAGGAAGGTACATAATGGATTTATGTGACAGAACTCGTTCCATGGCTGTTTCAGTCATCCATAGTGAAAACTGGGCATCAGATGTTAAGTGCAACATTAAAAGAGGAACTTACCCAGGTTACCGAGGACAAGGGAAGTAGCGGAGGCTTCTGTGTTGTTGTGGTACGTAGTCTCAGCAGTGCTGTTGTACACCACTTCGTAAGTGAAGACGTCTGGCCGTAGAGCAGGAGCTAGAGACCATTCCACCTGCAGTACACATGTTCACATTACCCAAGTGACACCAAGGAATCCCATTGCATACAACTCCTTAGTCTGAAAAAAGGAACCTACAAATTAGCGACGCATCACTCAAAAATGAGATTTGAAAAAAAAAAACTCCTTCGAGTTAAACGTTGTTCCAGTGCTGTTTCTCTGCTATAAAAGTATTTATTCTGCCGTTTATCTAGGCTTCTTTTTTTGGTCATTCAAACTTTACCCAACTTTTTGATGTCCTGCAATACTAGAAGTGACAGATCCCCAATTATGAATTTATATCGTTAGGGTATCTTGACATGTCACACCTAACGATTATTAAATGAAGTTGTAATAAGACAAGAGGCCAGGACGGGTCTAAACATTATCTGATGTAATTTTCCCTGAATACACACACACACAAATTCCTCAACCATGTTACCTTCCACAAAGTCAGTGAAACTTACAAAAAGAAATACTTCCTAAAATAACCGATTTCAAAGAAAAATTTCTCTATACACTTTATTTAGGCTAAGATTTATTTAATTGTAGTCTAAAAACAAAATTTTACCAATCATGTGAGAAAAGACATTAATGTACACTTCTGGACATTAGAGGAAACTGTAAGCAGTGTCTTTCTCTACTTCTTATCGGTATCACCATACTATTTTAAATAACCAATTATAAACGTCAATGAATTAATAATACAGGAAAACTATAAAAACGTCAGCGGCGCCAATAAAAACCCAGACAGATGACTGAACAATACACAAATAATTAATAATTTTTTTCTTTCCACAGTCGCAGTGACGGGTCTTAGTCCTACTGCGACCTGCCACTTTAATTCTGGTTATCTGGCCGAGGCCTTCTGCTGGCTTACCAGTCCACCCTTTCAAAAATATTAGATTTCCCTCTAGAAAACATTGCATATTTAGCGTTATCCAAAGTGATATACTGAAGTTAATTAAAGGGTAGGAGGCTGCAGTGTGTGTGGAACTGTTTTGTCTCCTTGCGTCACAGGGAGGTGGTAGAGCTATGGTCCTGGTGAAGAATTCGTGGATCACAGGTAACATTTTCTTTCCTTGATTAAATCTGATTATGTTCTACTACCCAGGTGTTGCTTTTTCCAGTTCCTTTTTACCTGCTACCTGGACTACCCCTCAAGTGTCACACTTGACCAGCCACCTCTACCCTCAGCGTCACACCTGACCTGCCACTCTACCCTCAGCGTCACACCTGACCTGCCACCTCTACCCTCAGCGTCACACTGACCTGCCACCCTCTACCCTCAGCGTCACACCTGACCTGCCACTTCTACCCTCAGCGTCACACCTGACCTGCCACCTCTACCCTCAGCGTCACACCTGACCTGCACCTCTACCCTCGCGTCACACCTGACCTGCCAACTCTACCCTCAGCATCACACCTACCTGCCACCTCTACCTTTCACGTCACACCTGACCTGCCACTCTACCCTCAGCGTCACACACTGACTGCCACCCCTACCTCAGGGACACCTGACCTCCATCTCTACCCTCAAAGGTCACCCTGACGACGTCCACTGGCAAAGTTAAAAATTTGCTTTAAATAGAGAATCAAAGTTTGACACAGACAGCGTGAATATATCGAGGTTAGAACTTCTAAGTTCCCCCCTCCCCCCAAATAGTAAATTGAAATAGAAGCTACATTAAGTTTATTCTACTGAATAGTACTCCTAATAGTATAAGGGAAAAGCTATGAAAAGTGAATGAGCTCAGGAGATGGAGAGACTGCCTGGAAGTGATCGTAGGACACACACACATGGTGTTACTGATCCAAGACGGCGACTGCCACAGTAGCATCACAACTACTCACGATCACAGTACCACCACCATCTCACGACCACACATCACAGTACCATCATCCATCATATTAGCACCACACAACACATCACATGCCCACATCCAGCACATCACAGCAACATACAATGACAGTGCCAACAATACTATACACTATTCTGCATCAAAATACACGAGAGGAATACTTATGTGAATAACCAATGAAATATGTCTCATAAGTTTACCAAATACTTTAGAAGAAAACAAGAAACAGAAAATTGTGAAGATGACAAGAACACTGCAGGTCTCATAAAAAAAAAAAACGAAAATGACAGCAATAAAGATTAATATAAATTTCTAACAGTAGGTTTTAGTTTCAGGAAAATGGAATGAGACTCGAGTCTGCATGGACAGAAAGACGGAAATGATGTTATTAAACTCACAGTATTAGTACTGGAACAATTTAAGAGTCAGAATGTCGAGGAAACCCCATGACCATGATTAACCAGCAGGACTAGTCTTGGTATTTAAGTAATTAAGACACAGAAGAAAGGGACATCTTCGAACACTGTATATTATAATCAAATCACAACTACTTTGCAACACTACTAAGAATAATTCATAAATCAACTACCACGAGGAGTGCAAAATAAGTAGAAATAGTTCAGTACTATCTAACATACACTAAAGCAACAGTAATTAAAAAAAAAGAACATTAACACCTTTACAGTTACAAACCTCGTCAGCATATCCTTATTAAATACTGAATTACAATACACTACAGATTATTTTTTTGTGGCAAGAAGTAACAGAAATCTGAATACAACACAATACTAAATCTGCTGAACTACCACAAAAGGCAGGTTACACATCGACATCACTAAGCAAACTAAAACGTAACACTAGGCAGTCTACGTCATAAAGTAGAACGCAACACAAGGCAAAGTAATACCAACACCGCAACGCAAGTTAGAGAAAGACAGGATACAACAGTACCACGACACCAAGCAGAATATAACACCGCATTAGTACCAGTAACACACAACAATCCTACCCAACACACAGATTAGAAAAACTTGCACAGCGTGTCAGTAAACATATGATACATGATATTACTCATTACTTTATCAAATACATCCACTGCCAAAATCATTGCAACAAGACACCTTTCGTATTGTTGCTTGAAAATAACAATCTATACCTTAATTGCAATAAAACAACCATCACAATATCACGAAAACCACTACCACAGCGCCCTGAGAAAACATAATTGTAGCAGCACAAGGCAGCACTTACCATTTAACATCACATAAAATATCACATCACTAAAACAAAAGTCTCAGAAGTAAGAATCTGCTTGTCGTAGGCCGACTAGTGGATCCGTCAGTGTCTATGTGTGTGTAGAAGCATCGTCACTTACTAGAATATCCGTCGGCTTGTCACTGAAGACCGAGAGATGAAAATCGATATGCTTGTCCGGATGTTGTGGGTTGCGATCCACCTTTGGCATCTTGATATTTTCCCAGGAAAAGCGTTCGTTGTGGGGTGGGTATCCGGCCTCTGTGGCTGCTAGTACCCTCGCCTCATACCAGGTGTTGGGGTGAAGATCTGGTGCAAACAGGGAAGGAGGGAGGGAGGGCGATCGTTCAGTTAAAGCTAAACTCTTATTTTCTAATCTGTAACTTGAAAACCTGCTTCTACAACATTTATTTAAGGATCTTTTAAATTAAATGTGCTGTCAATGACCTCATTTAATAGAGGACGTACTGGAAAAGTGTAAAAAAAATATAATACGGAGAAGTTTAGTTACGTTTAAAGCCTTTACACTCATCAAGGTGGCAGTTCACTTGTACACAAACACCAGGAACATTTTATATCGTAAAATAAGGTTTAAGGCAAGCTTTCAGCATGTATTTATATGTTGAGAGGTACATGAAATGTTACAGGTGTTTATTTCTCTCAGTGTAAGAATACTGAGAGTTTATTTTCAACCGTATTAAAGGGATTAAATTTTTCTTTAGTTAATGTGCAGTCTTAATAACCCTCGTGCAGTCGATAGGCATTAAACTTCATTAACCAACCAACGAACCAATAGTCGTAAATAATTTATAATATTTTAATAAATAGTTTAAATACAAGGAGAGATATGTATCTCTATATACAAGTATAGTATACTTAAATGTTTGTATCTCTCATAGACTTACACTGAGAGACTACTGCCACAATCCTGGATAATGTGAGAAATTACGAAAGCGCTTGGAATTTCATTATTATTTCACACAACTACTACTACTACTAAACATACATAGTGTACCCACTTCTTATATCATACTCTCTGAGGTCTGGGAGAATATCCCTTGCCTCATGGTAGTGAGACTCCTTACTCCTCCACTGTACCCTCGTGAAGTGGCA